ACTGATAATAAATCAGCATATTAGAATGATTTCTGAAGATCACGTGACACTGAAGACTGGAGTAATGATGCTGAAAATACACTCAGCTTTGCATCACAGGAATAAATTATATATATATATATATATATATATATATATATATATATATATATTTAAATCATGGCTGTAATACAAAATTTTCTTCTTTTTTTTTGCTTTCATGACAGATTTGTTCAAACACATTAATCGAGACACTACTAGATTAAGTAAGAATATAATAACTATGTAATATAGTGCACATTTATCAAAATTCTCCTCTCTAAAGTAATTTGTTCTTTCTGACTAATAAGTTTATAGACATTAAATGGCTTTTCAGAGGTAAATGTAACATGCCATTGTTTGAATGCTGTTTTATTGACTTTACTGTCTTCATGTGGTTGAGTGATTAAATGAGACTTAATACATTTCATTAAGTTGTCAGTAATTTGACACCTTCTGATATTCATTCATGTTTTATTCATGCTATAACTAGTAATAAAGTCCTCTGCACTGCTGCTTCAATTGATCTCTCTGCGATATTAAAGAGTGTCAAAATGGCATTTATTAGCTGCGTCTCATTTTGGAGGCTTTTGTCAGTTGATGATGAATACTTGATCTAAGAATCAATATCAACATCATTAAAATGAAGATTGATTAAAATGTATTCGTCAATATTGTAAACCCAGCCCTTTCTTGTTGCTTGAAACTTGGTGAATTGCATCTAGTTACTTCATAACTATGCCTAGTTATGATCTATGCCTCAGAATCTTCATTATTTGTTCACCCATACATAGTTCATTCATTTGTACTTTGTGTGAAGGTATCTGCTCAATGACTAAACCTGATCACTGCATGATTTTTGTGTTGCTCTCATCAGACTGAAAGCACACCAGAGGCTGCACACTGGGAAGACATTTAACTGTGAATCAGAGGGATGCACCAAGTACTTCACCACACTCAGTGACCTGAGGAAGCACATCCGCACACACACAGGCGAAAAACCATTCCGGTGAGGAATATCTGCTTGATTTATAGTCAAGTCAAGTCTGCTTTATTGTCAATTCTTCCACATGTACAGCACCTGATCAGAGGTGTGATCAGAGCATTCACGCTGACAGTAGTTCAGAGCATTCACCTTGAATGTGCAGCAAGTATCATTGAAAGTGGAGACAGTGGTCTGCTTTCTGATACAGCTGGATACTGCAGTCATAAATTATAAATGTGGTTTGTTTGCGTGTTAGTAAAGATTGAGGTGCTGTTGTGTTTGTGTCTGCAGGTGTGATCATGATGGCTGTGGTAAGGCTTTCGCTGCTAGTCATCACCTGAAAACACATGTACGGACACACACTGGTAAGAAACTGGCTGTCCATCCCATAAATGAACTCAAAATGAAAGCAATACACTGAAAAAAATCTGAAAACTTCTTTAACCCTCCAAAGCCTACTGTATCATATTTGATATGCTAATTTCTAAGGCCTCTAATTTATTAACATGATCAAAACTTTGCCTAAAAAACCTGTTGCACAATCTACCACATTCCTTCTGCCGTCTGATTGATAGTTTATACTTTTCTAGCAAGGAAAAGGCCTTTTAGTATAATTGTAAAAATTCATCTTGTTGGTTCACGTGACTTTATGCTGTGAATTCTTTCCTGACTTTTATAAAGTCAACATTAGAATAACTTTTATATTGTTAGTATTGTTTCAAGATAAACACTTACTGGACTGAAGCAACTTAACTTTACTTGATTGTCCAGACATCATTTTTTAGAAAAAGCATGTTCACATGTGAGTCAAATATGATCATCTGACTTTTGAGGAACGTTTATTTGTTCCTCTCTCAATCACCATTGTATTGCATTGCATTATATCTTTTGAAACTACAGAGCTTTGATCACACAACTAAGCATTAAAATCTCATATAACTGATATTTATATCATTTTATGTAAGTAGTTTTAATATTAATATTTAATATTAATATTATAACGAATTCCAACCTCTCAGAATTTCATCTTAGTTTTTAGCCATATAAATATTAGCAAGTGCACCAAATTGAGTATTTCTGCTTAGTTTGGGCCTCTGAATAAAACTGAGCTGTTTTCCCTCTTTGAATATGAGCTCCATAGTCACGCTAAATCATATTGTATCATAAAGTCATAAAAGCCTGATAAATCAAATATTATACTCAACCAAAAACACTTATGTTGAAACACTTAGAAACACTTCTCTTTTACCTTTTGTCTAAACTAAAGGTTCCTTTTAAAAAATTTAAAAATTCTGACCATTATTTCATTATTTTCATTTGCCTTTACAGGGTTAATCTCTTACAGAGGTTATACTATACAGTTTGTAGCTGTTCTTTTGAACTTTCTATCACAGTTTCCACAAACATATGCAGCAGCACATTGATAAGAATCTGAAATGTTTTTTGAGCAGCAAATCAGCAGATTATAATGATTTCTGAAGGATCGTGTGACACTGAAGACTGGAGTAATGATGCTGAAAATTCAGCTTTGGTCACAGTATTAAATTACATTTTTAACTGTATTAAAATAGAAACAAGTTTGTAATAATTTGTATTAAATTGTAATAATAGTTCAAATCTTACTGTATTTTTTAATCAAATGAATGCAGCCTTGCTGAGGATAAAAGGCATCTAACTTGTAAAATTAAATGATTGTTATTGTGGTACAAACAGTATAGAGAAGACACTTAAAATGCTTTAGCAAACTGTTACTAAAATAAAAGGAAAATAAAAAATATAAAAATAAAAAGTAATTCAAACCCTTAAAGGGGTCATATGATGCGATTTCAAGTTTTCCTTTCTCTTTGGAGTGTTACAAGCTGCTTGTGCATAGATAAGATCCCTGAAGTTGCAAAGACTAAAGTCTCAAAACCAAAGAGATATTCTTTATCAAAGTTAAGACTCTGCCACGCCCCCCTAAAACGGCTCGTTCTAACACGCCCCCACATATCTACCTCACTATGTGGAAATATTTGCATAATGCCGCCCAAATGTTCACGCAAAGATAGAAGGCGTGGTTTCAGTAACCGCAGTTAGTGTTGAAGCAGCCATGTCAGGGAAACGCTGTGTGTTTCTAGACGAAAGCAAAAGCACTTTATTTGGTCTTCCGAAAGTAGATGCATTTAGAAATCTTTAAGATTACTTACAACAGAACAGCAATGCATTTTATGGACGACCGTTTCGTGAACCTAGGAGAGGAGGTAATTCTGACTTTGCTATGACAATCTGGCGCTTCTGAATCAGCTACTGTTTTGTTGTTAGTTTAAGTATTTGCTATTGACTGTTCAAATGCGGAGTTTTGCGCATCGTTTGTGCGCGAGCGAGAGAGAGAGAGAGAGAGAGAGTGCCGAGAGAGAGAGAGAGAGAGAGGGTCACATCACAGTGGAGTCAGCTGTCTTAACCGCGGCTTGTGTACTGCAAACACATACCAGCTTCATCACTGTGTCTGTCACACGACTCTGTTCCCCTTTCGGACTCTGTCTTTACAGTTATTTTGAAAGACGAAGCTAGCGATTATGGTAAGGGGCGTTACATTTCCGGCGAGTGCTTGCGGTGTTCGGCCAATCACAATGCACTGGGTCAGTTGGCCAATCAGAGCAGACTGCGCTTGTCGGAAGGAGGGACTTTGTAGAAAACGAAGCGTTTGAGAGAGGCGGGGCATAGAGGACCTACAATAATGTACAGTATTTGAAAAATAATGTGTTTTTTGAACATTAAAGCATGTCAACATATTCTGTTACACCAAATACACAAAATAATGATCTTTTAAAAAGCATCATATGACCCCTTTGATAAAAAACTACAATAGTATTTCAATAATACTAAAGTGAAACATTGTAAAAATCTGGTTTAAATGTCTGTAAAATGTATCTTAATAAATACTTAAGTAAATGAATCTGGCCTTATTTCCAAAAAATTATCTTATTTAGACGAGAGAGCTTCTCCAGTTCTTCTCTTATGGTGTCTTTTTCTGTTCCAGGAGAGAAGCCGTTTTTCTGTACGAGCGATGGCTGTGAGAAGACCTTCAGCTCTCAGTACAGCCTGAAGAGTCACATTCGGGGTCATGATAAAGGTCCAGCATTCACCGTGAGCAGTCATTCGCTGTCAGAGGTGCACACTCACACAATCACAGCCCACTCTGGCTGCTTTGTTACATGGCTGCTTCAGGACAGTGGTCTTAATTGATACTGTTGTACTTGTTCTATTGCAGGATGCGAATCACTCACTGTGCCTCAGTGATTTGAGCCTCATTTCCACAGACTCTGAGCTCCAAGAGAACCACAATGTGAGTGACGTCCTCATTTACACAGAGCTGTTTTCAGTCGTCTCTCAGATACGAGTTCATCTCAGCACATATTCGTGTCTCAGTCTCAGGGTTTGGATCTGAACAGCGTCACCCCCATACGAATCTTTGAGCTGATGTTCCAGAGTCCTGAGAACAGTGTCAGCCCGGACGACCCGAAGCCCACAGGCAAGAACTTTGAGCTCACTGTGTTCAAAAACACCGGGTCATTCCTGTTATGTAGTACGGTTTGAATAAGTGAACAAGCATTTGTTAGTGTTTTGTGTAATCTATTAAAGTCTTTGTTTTAATAATTTTTGAGTATACCAGACTTTCAGAGATTTTCTCAGGCACTTGAAATTTATACTATAAACATGATGGAAACATGTTAACTAGGATTGGGTCGATAGACGATGGCTGACGGACATCACGATTTTAAGCCGGCATCGTGATTCCCCTCCAACTATGTGCTGTGCTGAACACACGTTCAGATGGCGCACTGGTAGCACGTATGCACAGATATTTACACGTGATGTTAGCCATGATAGGGCACTGTCCTTGGTTAGCTTTCCACCAAGTTAGTGTGTCTTCTTCTCCATCAATAGCCATTTCCTGTAGGTATATCGACATCTCTGCTTCACCTTTTTGAGCAGCGGTGAGCAAGGCTGCTGTAGCTGCTCTTTTCCCAAGAAGGCTGCCCAGTGAACCCTTTTTCTTAGGCGGGGTGCCAGCACCTGATTCCTCTTCCTCTTCTCTCCCTTGTTGCGGACCGGGTGTCAGACTTGCACGTGTTTCTGCTGCAGCCGCCATCTTTGCTACCAGTTCAGTTTTTGTGGCACTTAGCTCGGGTGGCTTCATGTGATCCCTATATCTTCTCTGGTCAAGCAAGGTTGCTTTGCACATCATCTTCTGGGTGGCATCATGGCCGTATTTGCCTTCCATTTGCTCCAAGATGACACGCTTCAGGTCGGCATTGAATTTGGCATCCTGCTCTGACTCCTCCAGCACACCTTCCAGGTGGGCTAACATGGGCAGAAGTGAGGAAACACGTAGTTTTCTCTTGAGAGAATATCTGTAAACTCCGCTACTGGCTTCAACCCGCTGTTAGCCGCTTCCAGAACACTTATGTCCTGCCATGTAAGCTCCGGGAGCGGGCGGCGGCTTTTGTACTGAGCAAACACCCTCTTTCTTGCACCTGCTTTAGGATTATCTCCACCATTTTCTGTCTGGAGCCCCATCATGTTGCACAGTCCTGTCAGGGAAACATATTCAGCAAACTTTTAAGTAATTATAGTAGCTATTCAACCAACTTCTAAATAATTATACCGGATAGGCTATTTACAATGCACACATTTACGTTTTTCTAATCACGGCTGACAAAAAGGTACAAAGCCTCCCATGAGGTGATCACACAATGTAAAATCAGCTTAACATATAAGCTTAGTTATGCAAAATCCGTGTATCATTCGTTCAGTTAATTTTCAATTAAGAATCCACAAATCAGAAAACAAAAAACAACTTATTTCATTATTTCTTTACAAAACCAAAACGAAAAAACAAATAATGACTTGATATTCGTATTTCGTTTCTATGCAAATTAAAAATGGGGAATAAAAATAATGACTATGAAATATCAAAATCAATTTCATTCCTTAATAATGGTCCGTGTACGTAGCGTTCATTCGTTTTTTGATTTAAAATTGAAAACAGAAACATGAGAAAATGGCACCATTTTCATTTTTCGTTTTTTTTTTTTAACGCAAAAACAAGAAATCGCCTTGATTTTCCATTTTTACATTCAGGGGTAGAAAATGGATAAACCGTTTGAATGAAATGAAACACCCCTTTCCACTGATTAGTCAAGCAAACATCAAATGGTGCCGTTGTCTTCAGTTCTGTGCAACAGAGTCCTCCGCTGTTAAAGCGTTTATTGCAACCCCTGCGTTCATCTCCCTCTCATCAAACAACCAGACTAACAAATAAAACACACTGTTTTGTGTCTAAAATGAAAATCAATTCATACTCCTTATTAATGAAACTGTACTGTCTAAAATAAAAGTTATGACTGCTGCGTAATCACACTAAAATCAATACTGGTCTGCACTTCACTATAATGTAAATGCATTCGCCCCGTGTTGTCCAGTGTGTCACACAGCTTTGCCACACAGATTTTGATAACTGGACAGCTAAATAAAATGTGCTGTGCGCCAAAGAAATAGACTAAAAGGTAGGTAGGGATGCACCGATACCACTTTTTCCAGTGCTCGCCCGATACCGATACTTTTATTTTTGGTACTTGCCGATACTGAGTACCGATACCCATATTTTTATTGCATTTGTACATTTTTTAAATATTGGGTAAAGAAACCAAAAGAGTATGTATAATGTTAGTTGGTTAACTTCATTTATCAAATAGATACAGTCAAGCCAAAATTTATTCAGACACCTTCAACATTTCTCAAATTATCACAGTTTATTTGCTATAGTTTAGAAAATGGTAATAAAACATGACAAGAATTCAGAGTTAAACTGTGTCAGAACAAATTCAGCTTGATAATGTCAGATAACTTTGATAGAAAGGTATGTAATGGATTACGATCAACGCAAAATTATTCAGACAGCTGTTAGTATGACAGTATTTACACAACTACGAATACTTAGCCGGGCAACCCTTAGCCTTAATGGCAGCTTTTTTTTTCAGTATTTTTTTTCCCAGACTTTATTTTGCTGTCCTCACTTACATAAATGAACTATAGTGTCCTGCTCCCACTAGTAAAAAAATATAAAAAATTATATCTGGTCTCTGAATAATTTTTGGTTTGACTGTATATCCTTTGGTTATTTTCACACTTAATTATGCCCATTAAAATGTATTTTATAAGTTTTTGTTACTTTCACTGTTCATTGTTTTGCTCTATGTACATCATCTTTAATTTGCACGTATTTGTACTGATGCAGAATAGTACAGCCTAGCGCATTTCATTGCGCTAGTTTTTAACATTTAGTTTTAATACAAATGATGCATGTGCTAAGTGAGTGAACATCAAAGATCACTCAACAGAAGTGAGCGGGCTCTCTCTCCCTACCGTTAAGTAACTTGTGCATTGTTTTACTTATTTGTTTTTTACATATCCGACCGAACTACAAACTTTCCAGTGATGTCTGTGAGAAAGGTATATTCACTTGACAAGCTCGCGCATCTGCGGCGCCACGCGCTCAATCCACTCAGCGTGCTTTGTTTATCAACTCGTGCACATCAGCTATACAGTCAATACTGAATGTTTAACATTGTTCATTGCATACATATACTTCGTAGACATCCTTAACCGCTAATAACTCATTCTGCTGTCTGTTCTTCTGTTGTCGGTGTTTCTTTGTGTGTGTGTGTGTGTGTGTTAAGTTTTTAAGTTAAGTAAACCTATTTCACTGCTTGCTTTAGCTTTTACAAATTATGCTAATCTTGCCAGATATACATGTCTGATTATATTGCAAATATTCTATTCATATTTTCAGCATTAGATTGTTTTGCAGTAGATCTTAATAATCATCTAGTTCAGGTTTAAATTAATGGAACAAATGTATTTATTCTTCTCAATTTTTGACATTACTACTGCTTTTATTTTCAGGGCCCAAAAGTAGAGAAGGTCTTTTTTACAACAGCCATACCAGTCGGTGGACATTCAGGTATGATTGAATATATGTTGTATTATTTTATTGATTTTAATGAAAGTTTAAATGACAACAGAATAGGGCTACATGATTAATTTAATTGCGATTTAAGGTTAAAAAACACATTATTTTCCACATACTGTACATTATTGTTTCTCCTCTATGCCCCGCCTTTCTGAAACGCGCCGATTTTTACAAAGCTCATCGGTCTGAAAAGCAAGGTGTGCTCTGATTGGCCAGCTATCCAGTGCGTTGTGATTGGGCGAATACCTCAAGCGTGTGACGGAAATGTTACGCCCCTTACCATACTGTGATGATGCCGTGTCCCGGCCGGCGCGATGAGACAAAACCAATAAAACCCATTATAAACGAGGCATTTGTTGCATCCAGTGGGGACATAATTACTGATTATAATGACTTATACTGTCTTTTTACGCGTTGCATCGCGCTGGGTGAACATAAAACCATGTCTGCATTTGTGATCGGAGAAATGACAAACAACAAGCGCTACTCTACACTGCTCAAAACTCACGTTTGAATCATCAGTGGCAAATCCTTTCAATATGAAAACGTACTTACAGGCTGTGAGTCAGCATTATTTGTCAGCGTCATAGACTGGTCAGCATGCACACCGAAGGGGAAACAGGGGAACTGCATTCACTGGAACACCGGCATTGTAGGCTACTCTCCCAGGAAACAGTTCTCATCCTCCCTAAAATGCGTTGCACACATCTGAATATTTGGTTCTGGAACAGTGTTGTAAATACAACTTAACCACTGATTTCTAGTCATGTCCTCTTTTGGAAGACCAAACAAAGTAGTTTCACTTTCACAACGAAACACAGCATCTCCAGCAACAATACTACAGCAAGAATCAAAGTTACGCCTTCTTTCTTTGCGTGAACATTTGGGCGGCGTTATGCAAATCTTCCCACATCGTGACGTAGACATGTGGGGGCGCGTTTGAACGAGCTGTTTTAGGAGGGCGTGAACGAGTCTTAACTTTTATAAAGAATATCTCTTTGGGTTTGAGACTTTAGTCTTTGCAACTTTAGGGATCTCATCTATTCACGAACAGCTTGTAACACTCCAAAGAGAAAGGAAAAATCTAAATTGCATCATATGACCCCTTTAATATTCTCAATCTGGCAACCATACACCACCAAACCATATCTCTCTCAGTAAATAAGAAAATGCTGTCAACAGTTTGGAGAAAAAAAAAAAAAAATTCACCATGTTTTTTCTTAGAAATGTTGATATATCAACAAACTCCTCTGTAAAAAGTATATAGATGGGGGAAAATGTCATGTTTGGTGTATATAAGTGCTGCTGAAGTAAGGATTTCTGACTAATTTTGAGAAAATGGCCTTTAAAGATAAGTGATCGAAATCTGCAGACAAATAGATAGTGTAATAAAATATAAGTGTATTTTGGATGTTTTATTTCTGCTAGTCTGAAACGACACTTTGTGAAAAGCCAAATAGCCCAAAATCCCAAAATTGACCAGTTCATGAAAAAACAGTTTTTACCTGCAGTGTCTTGCCTTAATAGAAACACTTTACATAGGTGGAATTTTTGGTGCTATTATTTAAAATTCCACTGTTTAAACTTCTGAGAGAACCTGCTATTTTTACCTATTTTCTCAATTTAGAAAATGTGTTAATTTACATGACAAATATAATAAATCAGGAAACTACAGTATATGTTGTCATTCTCTTTATTTGTGCAATAATTCTGATCAAATGTAAAAAGAAAATAATCACTATTATATTTTTGAGCAAAATAACCAAAGATCAGTTTACTCATTATCATGCAGCCCTACCACAGAGAGCGTCTCTCACAGGTAGCTGTTGTGGTTGTTTCAGGGAACGCAGTGCAGCAGATTGGTCTGAGTCTGCCGGTCATCATCATAAAGCAGGAGGAGTCCTGCCAGTGTCAGTGTGCCTGCAGAGACTCCGCTAAAGACAAGAGCGCTGCCACCTCACTGGAGAAGTCAAAGAACACGTCGCCTCCTCCTGCTGCGCCTCCTCCAGCCCTCCCCGAAGAACCTCCATCTTGCTGCCCATCCAAAGAGAACCCCGCTCAGCCCCAACAGGACAACCTGGCCGTTCCGGTGACCCCCAACACCCCCAGCGATGGCCTGGCCGGCATGGATGTCTCAGATCTGCTCAGTCCAGACACCACAGCCAAAATAGAGGCTCTGCTGATGGTGGCGGATGAGTTCTCCATGCCTGATGGAGGCGGCGGCAGCAGCGCCCCCTAGAGGCTCAGGCCTCACTCTTCATCTGTACTGTGTACAGATGGGTATCTCACATACACCTGTACCTCTGCTATAGGCACGCATCTCTCCCCAGGCCTGTGTGATCCTGATCCGAGTGTGTGGTTTTTGGTGCACTTTTAAGGGAGCGTAGCAGGCGGAGCAGTCTAGGGCACCAGGAAAAGTAGTTTAGTTGCTTCTCATAATGATTTGAGTGTCGGTAGTGTTTTAAACCCGCTGTTTTGCTAGTTTATTTCAAAGATTATTTAAAGATCAGAATCCGATTATAGAGATTCACCATATAAAACCAAACAAGTTTTTGCCCGGCCACATACTGTACTTGAGTTTAAACTTGAAACCCACTACACATTAGTTCACTGGTGTATCTGAGACTTCAAAAGCAAGGCCTTCATCACAGTTTATGGGTAATGAAGTCATCTAGGAAAAGTCCTGCACATTGAAACATTGAAGTATTTTATGTGTAATTTATTAGGAAGGCTGCAGTGCTCATAATAATAATAATGTGATTGAGATATTTTATTTTATAGTTTGTCATTCTGGATAAACTGCAATGAACATTTACCTGCCTTTTAAATGTAATTTAGAGGTTTGTTTGGCTGCCTATAATTTAGTATTTAATTTTATATATGTTAATTTATTAAAATACTCAATTGTTGGATAAATGTAGCTCTCTTTCCCAACTTTTCACAAAATGTTCCTTTTCTGTTTCCCCAAACTAGGCAGATTAACTCTCTTTAAGTGAATCTCACAAAACTGGCTTGAAATTTTCTGGGTCATATTTCCCACAATCCAAAAAAATATATATAAAATGGGAATTTTTGCATAAAGAATATTAACCCTATTTAATTTTTTTTTTTAATATATTAGTGACAATTTCATACCCAGTTCCCATTATAATAATGTAAAACAATAGAAAGTGTTTATATACATTATTTCAACTGAATTGAATTTAGACTGATTTTAATTTAAAAAAAAATTATATTGTCTAAGTATGTGTTAATATAAAGCCCCGCATATAACATGAGGGATAATAATATATATATATATATGAATTAAGAATTCATTCCCACAACATGTTTGTTTGAGGCCACAATTTAATAATTTGTTAACTCATTTTATTTAAATCGTGACCACTATTTACTAATTTATTCCCTTGTTTATTATTAAATTATAAATACGTGGCCATGAATTATTAAATTAGTAAATTGTGGCAATGAATTAAGAATTTGTGAGAATGAGTTATTTCATGGCCGCAATATGATTTTTTATTATTTATTTTTTTTCCCTGCATGTGATGTGTGGGGCTCCATATATTAATCAAATGCAAAAAAATGTCTTCATGCAAAAAAAAAAAAAAAATTTTTTTTTCCTTTTGATTTTTGGAAGAAATATGATCACTCTTGAATACTCCGTGATGGAATCAAATGCTTTTGCCTTTGTGATGGGCATGTGGTTGGGTTTCCTTGCTTTTTTTCCCCTCATTGTTTGTTACAGATCTGTTTCCCTCCTCTCATCAGTGTCTCCCTGCACTTTTCCTTTCGCGAAACCCGTTTCTAAACCCGCGTGAGTCTCTTGTGACCCGCTCAGGGATACAGAAAAACAAGCAGCGGTATATTCTGAGATGATGTGTGTGTGTGTGTGTGCATGTGTCTTTCTGTATTTATGGGTTCCTGACCATATAAGCAGACACAACTCATCAGACCTGTTGTTTTTAACCTGTTTGTAGTGCACTACCCAGCCACGGTTCAACGCCGCTTGTTTGCCCCTCATTTATATACCACTGCTGTATAGCGGTTCTAAAGAGATGACCGTCATGTAAATACATAGTACATTTGAAATGATAAATGTTTAAGCCTTTAGATTGTATTTGTATTTTTGTATAGAACTATGAGAAATCAGACTTTGGGTGTGAGATGAGATGAGAGACGTGACTCTGCACTGCCTTTACTGTCACCTGTGCGTCTCGTATGCAGTATGTAGTATTCCGCAGATCCTTGTGTTTCAGACTCAAGTTGGACAAGAATTGCCTTACAACTCATGATAGTTATTTTATTTCAGCATGGAGTAGACATGGAGAGTTTGAATCGGATAGATATTACTGAGCGAGCCTTTTCCTATCCAGTGCCAAATTAAACCGTGAACTGACAGTGAAGCTACATTACGCTGGTCGAATCTGTGTACGTCACTCAATCAGTAGCTTTATTTATCCACTACATATTCTTTTTAAATATCTATTAATGGGACCTGTGCAAACCTAGTACTAAGTGCAATCTGTTTGAACAACGCTGTTTTTCGCTAATAAATGCACTTACTTTGGGGTCCAGCCAATATGATGAGCAACTGTACCGGAATAATAATAATGCACATGCTTTCTGACCTTATTGTTTGTTCACATTTTCGCGTAGGACTCTAGTTTTGACAATTTACTAAAGTACATGAAAGATTCATTTTGATCGAAGCCAGTTATTATTCATCACCTAACAAAAATGGGTAACTATGCAATGTCATGGAGCATATAGAAAAAACCAAACCACGCCATCTGTACATGTTCATAAGTAAAATATCATGTGTGAGCATTCAGTGGTGATGTAGAGAAACAGCCGTGTCCTGTTGAGTATTTCATGTTTAAAAGCCTTTGTTTTTTTCCTTACGTCTCGCCTATCAAAATGTTTGTGTTGTGTACAGTTATGTTTGATGTGACTTTGTATCTGGGCATTGCAATGTTATATATATATATATGTATATTTTTTTCCTAATGAAAATTATTGCTGCTTCAATGTAACTTTTTGTTCTTATTCGCCCCCACATGACATGAAAATCTTGCATTTGTTTTTATGTTGGAAAAATACTGGTGAAAGAACGATTTGTTTGTCCATCAAGTCCTGATTTTATTCTTGCTCGAGATCAGCTCTTGTTCATGTAAACCCGCAATGCTGTTTATAATCATTCCACTTTTTCCAAGTGCTGCCATCATCATCTTTTTTTACGTTTTCATTCACTCATGGGTCTTTCAAAAGGCATTAGCTTATGATTTGGTCAACAAACTAGCTTATTGAACCATATTCGCCCCCACATGACATGAAAATCTTGCATTTGTTTTTATGTTGGAAAAATACTGGTGAAAGAACGATTTGTTTGTCCATCAAGTCCTGATTTTATTCTTGCTCGAGATCAGCTCTTGTTCATGTAAACCCGCAATGCTGTTTATAATCATTCCACTTTTTCCAAGTGCTGCCATCATCATCTTTTTTACGTTTTCATTCACTCATGGGTCTTTCAAAAGGCATTAGCTTATGATTTGGTCAACAAACTAGCTTATTGAACCGTTGCTTTTTTCCATTGGTATTTATTCTGATTTTCTTCTGGTTCAGGCAGCATCAAGGACACTAGTCAAGAGGAAAAGTTGGTCTGGCATGTTAGTTGAGTCAGAAGCTTGAGGTAAAGAGGAAACAAATGCTTCCATAAGAATTGCTTTTGATACCCAAAGTGTGAGGAAACTGTAAAGATCTGTATTTTTAAAGAATGTATAATGTGAAATTTTTTCTCATATGCTTGTTTTGTATAAAGTATTATGGCAAAGTAATAACTTTTTGAATCAAAAAGCAATACAATACCAGTAAGATCCTGTCTTGAGTGGTTACATTATTTCACAAAGTTACACGTTTCAGAAAGAAAGCGCTCCATCCCAACACTTTCACATCAAGATGTTATTTTTATATACACTTGTAGGGTCTCAAATACTGAAAGGAAACAACTCAGTCATCCAGTCCTCGAAGTGATGCATTTTCAAGTCCTCTTTCCTACCAAAATAAACACTTGAATGAGTAGCGCTGCATTTTAAACACTAGAACACAACATTGAACACCTACAGCAACTATTTTCTGAATTTCCAGCAGGTCGTTTAGGATCATAGTGCAGAGCTGGAGCTGCTCCTGTCTGTCAGAGATCTTGCCATCAAGAGCCTCCAGATGTCTCACAGAAGGGCACTGTTTGAGAAATGTATTTAATAGTGGATTAAAACAGTAATTTTCAAAAAAAAAAAATTACCTGATTTGCAGGAAGATCTTTTAACTGGGTGTTTGTATCTTCAGTGTTTTCTGAAGTATGGACATTTTTTAGAAATAGCAACCTATGAAATGATTATTTAAATGTGTAAAACTATCTTACCTGTCACTGATGCCATTTTTAGTTTTTGGTTGTGATATGGTAAATCCAGCAGTGGTCTGTTTTAATTAGGCCTATATGAAATAGTCATTAGTCCTAATTAATTACCTCAGCAAGTTAATTATATTTATCGGCATTAACAAGATACACCTGGCTCATTTACACGGAATTTGTTGCTTTAACATGCACATCTAAATTTATAAGTAATTTACTCTCTTTGTTGTTGTTGTTGTTGTAACAGGACTTTTATTTTGAAGGGCTGTCGACTTGGCTTCCTGCTTTAAGAGCGCGTGCTGTGTGAGCTGTTTATGGTCTTCTTCTTCAGTTCCTGATATCAAGAATTAACATTTTAACTAGTGAAAATGTAATTGTTGATATCAAGAATTCATATCCTGAGAATGAATAAAAGTCAAAACGGCTTGCCATAGTTCGGCATGCTATGCCGCTTAGGAGCGCCAGCGTGAGTAACGAGCTGAAGACGAGAGTCCTGCGGCTATCCGCGCAGAGCCCCGGGGAGCAGCAGGGTAAGAGCCGTGCTTGTTCAGTCGATAAACTCTTCTTCAAGTACACTCGCCACACTAGTCATGCCATTTGTCTCTAAAATGTCCAACGGCTGGTATTTATCTTGAATAGACGCTCTGTGGTGGGGATGAGTTTCAATTAAGTTACTTTTTGTCATAGTTTTAACAAAGAGAAAATATCTGTCATAATGTCATAGCTAGGAATGTACGTGTTGTCAAAATATACAATTCTGAAAAAAAAAATGCAATGGTTTTCATAATGATGGATCTGAAAATTGTTTTGCAAAAATAAATGTATTTTTTTTTTAATGTGACACTTAACGTATATATTAAACAAGCAGTGTTGGGGGTAACGCGTTACAAGTAACGCGAGTTACGTAATCGGATTACTTTTTTTCAAGTAACGTTAACTAGTAAAGTAACGCATCACTTTTGAACTTACAGGAGAATATCGGAGTTACTTTTTCAAATAAGTAACGCAAGTACTAATTAATCCAATTTGTTGACCGACAGCTCTGGTGTCCGCATGCTGAGAGAAATCAGAAGATGTTACTGTAGTTCTAAAATAAATATGAATGTGCATTAATTCATCTCACTCACAAAATTAAAAAAAAACTAATTCAGTATTCCTCAAAATGAATAAAAAATGCTCGGAATATAACGCAAACCTGCAATAATTAAATGTTTACTAATATCCTTTATGTATTTAATCCCATTCTATAAAGCAATGTCTTTGCTTCTGACCTCTGATGATCCAGTTCAAGCGTACTAATAAGCACAAATTACTCTAGACGAACATTTGTGTGTCTTTGTTTATTGCTGAAGTGTTGAAATGTCTTCTTCTGCATTCTACTGTACTTTCCCTTCAGCCTGAGGCTTATTCATTTCACTTTGGCTGTGAAAGGCTTTTATATTTGCCAAAAAATATAACTTGTTTTTAAATCAATCAAGCAAGCCCTGTCCAGATTTCTAACGCAACGCATTACTTTCCATAAAAAGTAATTAAGTAACGTAATTAGTTACTTTTTTATGGAGTAGCGCAGTATTGTAATGCATTACTTTTAAAAGTAACTTTCCCCA